CTCTTTTAACTGCAGGAGCGAACTGGGGTCAAAATTTCCGGGGTACAGGCCCCGCCGAAACGAGGATTGGGGCTATCTCCGAAAAAAAGGGAAAAGGTTCCATAGAGACTTTTGACGGCTTTGCGAGATGTTTTAAAACTTTATCGAAGCAGAAGATAGTATTGCAGCTTTGATACCTTAATTTGTGTTTATTTCTATGTGCCTTTTCGATATGCCTGATAATGGCCCTTCGAGCCGAAAAGTACTTCGCAGCATGAAATAGAAATAAACACAAATTAAGGTATCAAGGCTATAATACTATCATCTGCTCCTATAAATTATAGATAACTGTACAACCATTATTTTTAAATATTCTTAAAAATGTTCAACCTGGGCCTCCACATTTTCTTGAACTACATGTGGCATTTCAGAGGGAGGGGTGGCTTCGCAATCGTTACGCAGCTGTACCTATATAGGATGGAGGAGGGTTCACAATCGATCTCATGCAAAGGGTTGATTTCTGTGACTTGAGCTATGAGACGAAAGTTTTCAGGAAACATTTCGCGATGTAGAGAGAGAGAGAGCGCAGAGGGAACACCTTTTGGCGCTTTTACAGTGGGACGAACATCATGCGCAATCCTCACAAAACCTGGTGACGCTCGGCAATTTTTGAATTTTCACCCTTCGCTTGCGTGTGATCGCAGTTGACGCGATTTCGGACGAACGTGCGTGAACGCTGTATTACGCGATTTTGCGGATACTCACTGGTGAATCGTTTTCGCGGTTCTGAGGACTTTCACATGCCATTACTTTTTTTTAATTTCTGTGATTTTCCGCGTAGCTCTCAAAATGGAACTCAGTGGGTTTTTTAATTACGGATTGAAATTGAACAAACCTCGCGAAAATTCTCCAACGGTGTCAGAAATTCTCAATGGATCCGAATTGTAAGAATTCTGAAAAGTCGCGAATATATTACGACCAGTTATTTTGAGTCATTTACAAAGCCCAGCTCTACACGATGTAAAAATGCAAAAAAAAAAAAAAATTGGCAATGAAAGAAAAAGTAGAAATAAATTTTGAAGTAGAATTGAAAAGGGAAGTAGCAAAAAATCCGTCTCACCCTCTCTAATTTATTTTCAACCCCTTTAGGATTTTTCCCCTGAAAAAATATTGAACACCATGATCTGCAACTTTTTCACGAGTTTTTTAAACGTGCAACTTTGAATCTAGTTAAATTTTTCAGTTTCACTTTTTTATGAGCTTCGCTACCAGGAATTGGCTCCTCCTCTTTCCACCTTTTTACTACGCATCCATTAATCAGAGCCTTGCTGGGCAAGGTGACTGACACTGTACAGCTATTCTCGGTACATCAACAACGCACATTTCTACGCGTTTAAAGGTAACGCGCCGTTACCTTCAATGTTTTGCTGTACTCGCATTGTTGGTGCTCCGATGTGCGTCAAAGCCACAAAGCGCACCGTTCTCGCATGGTCACATGGCATGCTGTCATGCCAGGGAAGGACGCCCCATGAGCATTCCAACATTGCCAAATATACCCTGATAAAATTTCAATTTTTGTGGTAGGTCAGGAATGTTTTCCCCTGAAATTTTCATGTACTTTAGCTTGAAACTTTTTTTGAAAAACTCACGCTCTCACTAATTAGAACTTGAAATTATATACAATTCTTAATAAAACAATCGAAATTTTTTCAAAAAACAGTAAAAGCTGTATTAAAACTTTTAAATTTTTTTTGGTAAAACTCACTCTTTCACTAATCGGACTACTAATTGGACACTAATTTCACCAATTAGTGGAAGCGTGAGTTTTTCAAACTTTTTTTTAAAAGTTTCAATACAGCTGTTACTGTTTTTTTTTTTTTTTTTTTTTTTTTTTTAAAAATTCGATTGTTTAATTAACAAGTTTCGCTTGAATTGCGTATAAAATTCTCCGAAAATGTTGATGAATAAGTCTCAAAGTTCCCTGAAAGTCCGTGTTTCATCCACGGAAATATGGCAACGTCTGAAGGCTCATACGGTGTTTTTCCATAACACAGCAGCACGTTCTGCATGGCATATCGACAGAGCAGCAGGGTCGCTCATGGCTCTGCGCGGGCGGCTCCAGCTCCAGCTCCACCGCGTCGCACAGTGAGACGAAATATTGGGAGAGGTCGAACTCGAAAATTTGACTAACTAAAACTGCAAAATTTGATGTTTTTTCGTATTTTATAAACTCTTGGGAGTGCCTCTTGAAGGGAAGTTTACGAGGAAACCAAGTCCAAAGTTCCAAGTTTTGTTTTAATATGAACTTTTAAAGGAGCTATACTATATCCGACGTAATCCATGGATTGGCTCCACTGTGCGCCACCGTGCCGCACTTGTTCGCTATCACTCATTCACTCGTCAATCGGATACGTGCGTCACGCCGCGCCGCGAAAAGGTCCTGTACCCGCGTGGTACGAAAAACACATAGCGTGGGTTCATCTCCGGAAAAATAATCATGGAGGTTTTGAACGTAGGTGCGATTTCCGAATTAAATCATGTGCTTTCTGTTTTTCGCGAAGCATGCGATCATGCCTCTGCTGTTAGACTTTCGATTATTTTGAGATTGTTTTCCTAGTCTGTTCCTCCCCCTCCTCCACTTACTCACCCCCTCTCCTTCCCCTCCCCTCGCCCTCCTCCGAAAATGTTAGAAAAGTTTAGGAAGGTAGAATAAATTAAGTATAATACCTTGGGGAATTAGCATCCACAGACTTGTACATAGGTACATAACCTTACATTCCTATGACAGTAAATTTTGAATAACAAATTCCTTCCTATTCTATTTACTATAGGGAGAAAAAGAATCATGTCATAGGAAATGTATGATAGAGATTATAATGCTTTTATAACATTCACTACGGCGCTGATTAATAGTTATCGTCGGTTTTTCCTTTCCACCAGAACAGCAACCTCGTAACCGTGAACTTTTCATGAGGTTTTGAAGTTCGCGAAAACTAGAGTCGTCTACTCTACGACGTGGCAGTTTGTTGCTGGCACCAGACATGATTATGAGTAATGAAGGTGTCGCAACGGAAAATGCGAATAATACTGAGAGAGGAAATTCGTATCCTAGTTTCCGCTGTGCTGGAAACAAGCTCTCGCAGGAGTGGGTCAGATGCTCACAACTTCCCGCACGGCAAGATCATGCTGCACGCACTTTCGCTCTCCAATCAACGTCTTCGCGATTAATGGAACCTGAATAATCGAGAAAAAAAAAAGAACATGGGATGAGGTAGCGATCATGGCGGAGGATACAGATCAGTAATGTTTGTCAATTAGATGTATTTCTGTCGAACGGAAGTATGCGCAGAATGACGTGAGCCCTGTTATGCACGATGCTTTAACTTTAGAAAAGGAAATCAACTTTTTTTTTTTTTTTTTAAATTTGCTGTGAATATTTTCTCTAATTGTAAAATATTCACAGAATATTCCCGGAGATACTTCGATTGATTCTCGTTTTAGGATTTTTTTTTTTCAAATATTTCGACTTCAGCAATCTATTTGCAACAAAGTATAGCTCATTCATACTCACTACTTAAATGTACTTTATCTGCGTCATAAATCTCTAAGTCAATTTGCACCGATGACCATCCGTTTATTAACTCTAATGGCCGATGCTTCTCTCGCGAAAATCACGAGAGTCAACTTGGGTGTTGTGCTGTTTTAAGCGGTGTGATGATGTGGTGTGGCAAAAATGCTCCGCTTGCATTTGTACACCTAGCCACAATACTGATTTTGCATGTTGCTCCGCACCGGAAAAAAAAAAAAGAAAAAAAAAAAAACCTGAGTCAACATAGCACGTTGCCTGTTACACGTCGCTGACGATCGCCAGCAACTTGAACCAATACGCAATTTCCAGGTCGGAAATGCACTCGTAATTTTTTTTCTTGCTTGATCCAACCGTAGGTATATTTTTCAAAAGACAAATTACAATTTTAATCAGGATAATACAGTTTTATTATTTTTTAAAACCAGGAATTTGCTTGTTTAGTTTTGATCACTATCTGTCAAAGCGATTTCCGCGCTTAAGAAACTTTACAAACCTGGTCATTGAGCAGGATGTTCTCCCTTAATTTTGCATAATTTTTACTTAATTTACCCCTAAAATGTTTGTTCATTTCTGTATTGTGTCCACACCTCATTTTGTAATCGCTACTTTTTTCGATTCGCTGAATTCCCTCAAAAATCGGATATTTATCGTGCGACATCATTTATCGGTGCGCAAAATGGCCATCACATCTTAACTAGCCACCTCACTACCTCTTGTCTTTTCTTTTTTATATGCCCTCAATTAGAATAGTCGATGATAACGCTTGGAGGCCTGGATGCAACTATTCGTGCTCCATGGATGTGCGTGTTGCATACAGGCAAAAATGAAGGCGCTCTGCCTTTTTCCGCGTAGCGATCGATGCGCGCTGCGATGTTTTAGCGCTGCGAGCTATATAGGTCGTTCGTTACGCTCATAAACGAAGTATTAAGGGCGGAAGATTGCCTTCGGTCCCGTAATTAATCGTCTTATTTACACTCTCTCCATACACTGCCTCTGAATATCTGTTCTCAGACTGTTCTGAATTAGACGCGACACCTGAGGGAGCTCGAAGGGGGCGTCGATAGGGAGTCTAGGGCTCAACAGGTATATCTATACTAAGTAGAAAGGCGTCGGGGGGGGGTGCCCCTGCAAAAATTTTAATTAAATCAAATTCAATACAAAAATGAAGGTACCTATGCTTCGCCTTCAAACCTGTCGTCAAGTATGTTTCTAAGACCTTTTTTATAAAATTTTAGCGGTATGCTAATTTTACTCTCTCTCTCTGTCCCCTCCATCTTCTTCTTTGTTTTCTTTCATCTTTAGGGCAAAAGGGGGGGGGGGCATGATATCTTGCCGCCATCTTCCAGCCCCCTGCCCCCAGATCTGCCTCTGCTTTGAATGGACTAAGATTATGAAAATGTAATTACAATTAGTTGAATTGATTTTGTTGCAGGAAACAGTGCTAATGTACAGAGATGGAAAAGCTACTGGAAAGGATGGATACCGATTTCTGCAGGGATGGGCTTAACCATTCTTGCTGTGTCTCAGTGGAAACGCTGGCAGTCAAAACTTGCGAACCCGGATGAATGTCACATCTCAGAATTTGAGGTGAGGGAGTCTGCTTTTCATTGTAACTCTCCCTATTAATAGCTCCTCAATAATTGTTGAATAACTGTTCAAGCATGGATTTTATGTTCATGCTTTTTTTTTTCTCAAGCAGGTAGATGAGTAGGTTTGAGGAGAGAATTAGACAATTTTAGTTTTAAGTAAACCCATTTTGGTAGGTAACGAAATCAATGTTTTTTTTTTACGTACAGCTTTAATGATTTACCAAAATATTGAACTAAACGTATAAAAATTGCTTTCGTATCGTAAGCGCCTATATTGATCAGATACAGGGCCGGATTTAACCACTTGCCGCTCATGGGCCGTCTGTATTTTTCCGCCCCCTTCTCATTTGTTTTGAAACATCAATAGATCGTATTCGAGTGGTTCGATGTATCGTTTGGTTCAAAAGAATAGAACATGAGCTCAAAGGAAAATTTTAGGATTTAATTTGGAAAAGCTGAAAATGAGAAAATTCCTAACAATTTCATTTTTCATTGCAATTTGGTACTCGAGAGAATAAAAATTTGATCACATAGGACCCGTTACCTCAGATTTCTAAATTGACTTTTGAGGCTGTGGTCACATATTGAACCAATCGATATCAATGTAATCTCACCTGTGTGATATGTCGAATACGATTTATAAAAACCATCAAGTGAACGTCCCGGTGGGGGAGGGGTGTATGAGACGCGTTTACTCGTGTTGGGCACATTTTTTGTGAAATCCCTGTCAACACTAACAAAAGCCCATCCCTGTATGGATAAGGCCTTCCATTTATAAAAAGCGAACGAAAAAATGATGAAAGAACAAACATAAATGTGATTATAAATTTCAACTTCCACCGCCGCGCCGACCGCACTGTGTTGGCGCAATGCGTAAAGTATTCATGCAGTTTTGTAGGCGCTATGCGTTTCACGCCGACCGCTGCTGACCACACTGTTTGGCGCAATGCGTGAAGTATTCATGCAGTCTTGTAGGCGCTATGCGTTTCAAGCCGACGACTGCTGCTGAACGCAGTGTGTTTGACGCAATGCGTGAAGTATTCATGCAGTCTTGTAGGCACCATGCGTTTCATGCCGACCGCCGCCGCCCCGCTCCATTCCAGGACAAATTGAGTGTTTCGTTTCTCTCTTAACACGACTATTTAAAGATGTTGTCTCTTGTAACACCGAAAGACGACAAAATTAGAAATTACTATACTTTTACTCTCAGGAAATGAGAGATTTTGTCGCCTTTTCTCGTTTGTAATTTATTTTCTGAATCCGATTTTTTACTCTCTATTTTTGATACCTAAGTACATTAAAAAAGACTGCAAATTTTGCCGCCCCCTACTTTTTGCCACCATGGGCCGCGGTCCATGTGGCCACCCCCTTAATCTGGCCCTGAATACTGATACCTAGATACTGAACAAATAAAGCATCACACATTAAATTGAAATTCCATCAATTGGATTAGAGAAAAAACAATTGATTTTTGCACTGATCAGATGAAGCTAGCTTAGCATGTAGGTCATCAAAGGTCAAACTGAAACTGGCTTTGTTGGGTTTTCAAACTCTTATCTTAAAATTGTTCAAAATAAAATTTTAACATATGCCGAAAAAACTACCATAGATTTTCATAAGTTGAAAAGTTTAATCAAGTTTAAAAAAAAAAAGAACCCTCAGAGTTCATAAGTTTTTGTGCCAAAAAAACCGTAGCCTCTCTCCAAAGCCCATAATTGTCTTATTTGAAATTTTTTCAAAATGTACAGTTACTGAAATGTGTATGTCAGTCCAAGAAGATGGTTTGAACCACTACAAAATCAAGATTCCATTGATTCTGCTTGCCAAGTTATTTTGATGATTTTATGCTCTTTAATTTGCTTAAATTACCTTTTTTTCATTACAGATTCAATGCTACCGAGCAGTGCCTCTGCGAGCCATATCCCGAGCTTGGGGTTGGATATCCTCTCAAAGAGTACCGTTCAGTATGCGAGAGTGGCTCTATACTAAATATTCAGTCATGTTTGGTGTTAATTTGGATGAAATCGCAGATGATCTCATTTCTTTCGATTCTCTCAGTGATTTTTTTATCCGCCAACTGAGAGAAGGCGTGCGACCTATTGCTCAAGCTGAGTGTCTTGTAAGTAATTATTTCATCTTCCTTTTCCCAATCATCTTAGATCATTTTTATATTTTATTTTTCAGGGCTGGAGGAAATTTGTTTTTCCAAAACCTATTAAGTGGAAATGTTTTCCAATTTCTTCAATATTCCAAATCTTAAAATGGACCAGAAATTGCATAAAATAACAGCCCATTTTCATTTAATTATTTTCCTCTCCTTTTTTTTCAAGAAACAAAACAAAAGATAATATTGATGCTCTCAAATTTGTCTTGCAATGCCAAACATTGCCTCCTATCCAAAATCATTCAGACCTGTGCATTGTTCCCGTTTTTTGTCCACTTTTAAATCCAACAAAATATAATTGTCCCCCAAAAGTCTTGAAGGTCTATGTAATAACTGCATTTTGGAGTGTTTTTTGTTATAGATCCTCTGTGAAGTACCTAGAGGATTACAAGGCCTTATTGTTTCCCTCAGTATCTAAGTTTTTTTTTAGCAACTGTTTTGATTCACCCTTAATAGGAAGCAAAACTTCTACCCCTAAGATGAGGACTAAACTTCCATTTAATTTCTGAATACAATTTTTTGTAAAGTAATTTTGTTTTGTCTTGTTTCAGACCTCTCCTGCCGATGGAACAGTTCTAAACTTTGGTCGTGTAACGTCATGCAATATTGAACAAGTGAAGGGTGTAACATATAGCATTAGAACTTTTCTTGGTGAACCGACGTGGCAGAAGAGAGGAAGCACAACAGATTCAGATTCAGAGCTTTTAGAAACAAAGTCAAAATCTATTAAAGCTAGTAGTTTAAGTACCAAAGCCAGTGATTCCATAGTTTTAACTAAGCATTTTTCATTAAATCCTTTTTCATGGATAAGTTGGAGCTCTCAGACTCCTGAAGGAACTGAAAGTAATTCCAGTGATGTGTGCCATGATCCTGAATGGGAAGAATATAGATCTAAATTATTAAAAGATAGTGTAAATAATGACCTTTATCAAATAGTCGTCTATTTAGCCCCTGGAGATTACCATCGATTTCACTCACCAGTAAACTGGAATGTTTCTTTTCGAAGACATTTTCAAGGTAATTATAATTATTTACTAACTATCTTACTACCTTGCTAACTTCCATTTGATCTGTGTTAAAAATGCCTCTGAATATTTCGTTGAAGGAATTGATTTTCAAACATCTGATTGTGTGAATCGCTTTCTGCGTAAGGTCCTGAAAAGAAAATATGTGACTTTTTCTCTAGTTCAGACCTCGTTCAGTGGCCCATTTTGTATATTTATGCCCTTATTTGATAGGAAGAATTTAGAGGAAAAAGCCTAGTATGAACCCTCCAATTCAGCAAGAAAAAATTATTTTTATGTCCATAAATACTATACCTTAGATTACTCGAGACACTTAATTATTATTGCACCTAACTAGTGGTGTACTAAACAGCATATCTCTTTGAGGGAAAATTGTGCTCATTTGAGCTTTTTCCCTCTGTATTGAGATTTTCAGCTTTATGCTGAATTTTTAACACATGTTGGCTAAAAAAACTCCAACATACCGTCTTACAACCCATGCGTTCCACCGCAATCAGTTTGTGTAATTATTATTCTGTATTTTTTACCAATTGTTTTCTTACCAATTATTCCTACCAATTATTACCAGTTATTAACTTACCAGTTATTTCTACCAATTATTTCCTCAGAGGCTCGGAAGGAAATTGATAGTTGATAATTGTTGATAGTTTTGTTGATAATTGTGAAGTTGATAATTTTGAAACTAAAGTTGTTTTGAGCCTTTTTTCTTATTCCCTTATCCTAGTATAATGATTTTGATTCTACGTATACAAATTAGAATTTGTCACCTGCCGTAAGTTTCCCCTACGTACCATAGTCCTATCAAATTTTTTCTAAGTATAATTGCATTTTTTGGCTCGTTATGACTGGCCCTGAATTAAAATTAAAATGGGCATGGAGGTTGAAGCATACATGATATTTTGATTGTGAGTCAATTAGTTAATATCTTTATTTTCTCTTCTCAACAGGTGAACTTCTGAGTGTAAATCCAGTCATAGCAGAGCTGGTCCCTGAACTGTTCTGTCTGAATGAGAGAGCAGTTTATGTTGGTGACTGGCAGCACGGGTTTTTTTCAATGACTGCTGTTGGTGCTACAAATGTTGGCTCAATTCGTGTTTATTCTGATGAGGTAGGTGTTTGTTTTACATCAGAATACTCTGTTTGTTGTCCAATAAAGTTGTTTACCTGACAAAAAGTTGAGTTGTTGTGATTCAGAGGCGTGCTTCCTCTTGAACTAGAGTCTCCTCAGATCTATTAATTCAGAAAAGAGCAGAATTTTCCAAGTAGGTCTTGAAGTAGGTTTAATGAAAAAACAAAAAATATAACAATAGTATAATGGAAATAATAAATGATTGAATGTTTAGAGTTGATTGGGTTTACAACCTGAAGATTCATGCAACAATTAATTACTTTTACATTTACATAGCTATAAAAAATGAGAGTTGAGTCCTCTAGGTCAGGCATTTGGTGAGTTTTAAATTAAGTATTTCAAACTATATTAGCGGTAAGGTGCTTAAAAAAGCTTTGATTTTTTACGAAGCAGGAGAACATAATTTTTCAATATTTAGGCGAACGCACCAAAGAAGCACGAATTTTGTCTGCAAGATCATAGTAGACACTTTGCTTTTACAATTATAAGAGGCCAAAAATATTGCTAGAATGTACAACTGGCTGTGTGTACTATTAGAAAGATACTCTTTACAATCGAAGTAAAGAAAATAGTTAAGTAGCAGGGAGAAACATTGGACATTTGGATGTAAATTATTGGTAAATTATCAATGATTTGAATTTAAATTATCGGTAATTAGTTCCTTTTTCAAAATTATTAGTTCCTGTTATTTGGCAGATTTTGATTCTTGCCATCTGTCTGATCTTTCTGGCAGGCAAGGAACCAAAAGCTTTCATCAAAAACCAGTGAAATGTTGCAACACCTCTACGAGATAATGTCTTTAAATATGCTAATAAATTCGGTTTCCAACCCAGCTTAACTTAAAGTTAACACATAGAAAGTTTGATTTCTTAAGCTTATCGTCCTCAGGGGGTTGTGAAGAGAATCATATAAAATAACAAAGAAATTTACCCAGTGCCAAATCCTTTTGTCCAGAATACCCAGTTGCTTAAGAAACAATACCACTGATACAGTAAAAGGAATTTCATGCTAGAGCTGCATAAACATCGTTTCTTGCCTATTCGTAGGTTTTCTGATTGCTGCTGCTGCAGCGCTTTTTTTTTGTGATTTCGTTTCACGAATACACGGTTAACTTGTCCGTTTTATAGCACAGAGAGCTTTATTGTTGGTGGTCCATGTTCATAAAAAATGTTACTTCAGCAAAATTTTTCCTTAGGTAACATTATATTTTTATATTTTTCTCATGTCTCAAATTTTTTTCTTTTCTGCATCAATAAATTAAGCCCATTTCAGAGTTTCCTTTTTAATTGATATCTCTTTTTATTGTATTTTCAGACTTTACATACAAATACGAAAAAATGGAAGCGAGGAAGATTTCGAGATGCTGAATTGGACCTGAGGTGGTCCAAAGGTGATGAAGTTGGCGAGTTTCGACTTGGTTCAACAGTTGTCTTATTGTTTGAGGCACCAAAAAGTTTTCAGTTCAGTATTTGTCGCTGTCAAAAAATCAAAGTCGGAGAATCAGTATGCTGTGATAAAGAAAAATAAATTGTCTATTTTTTCCAATTGCCGTTTATTTTTGCTTTGCTACCATGGTATCAGAAAAATGTCAACATCATCCTAGGCCTTGTCTCCACGAGCCGTTTCACGAGATTTGTCCCAGGGAAAAATCCTATTTACCAAGTTGGGAATAATATTGAGTTAATCAATATTTTTCCCAGTACCAAGTATGGTACTTGTACCCCTAGGACCCACTGAGAGAAGAGGAAGAAGTGAAAACGAATTGTGCGATATTTTATTCATTTATTGTTAATGTTTGTTTAGTTAAAATAATGTGTCTAATTGTCAATTGAGTGCATTTATTATTATAATCCTGGTTAAATACTCGACTTTAACTACTTTATCTTTCCGTGCAAACTAGTCGCAGGACTGTATGAGCCCTGTCCCGTGGAGACGGTAACTGGGAAAAATCCCAGAAGTTTCATTCCTGCAATTCGAACTTGGGACAAATCCCATGAAAATGTCCCGTGGAGACAAGGTTCTAATCATTGTTAATTTAGGTATCTTTTGTCCTGATGTATCATTAGACTGAGTAAGAACTTAAGAAAGATGTGCAAGGTGTGTTTCCTCCTCAAAAATTAATGAAGAACACAGAAAACATATTCAAAACTGCCAAAATCTTTTCATAAGTGAGAAAAAAGAATTTAAAGTTCATGTTACAATCAGTCCCTTCAAACTTTCTGCTGGCCCAAAGAAAAAAAACTCAATCCAGTTGACATTGATCATCAAAAAGAACTTTGTCCGTTCAAAAATAATCAGAGTACAAGTTCATGAAACTCGCACTCTTTTTCTATAGGTAACATAGTACTTTTCTTTGGTTAAGGGGAACTTGGCTGGTTTGAAAATAGTTTTGGTAAAAACCACATGAAAATTCATCAGTATTTAAGTCGACTCAAGTAGACTTTGGTTTTTTGTTGAATAGGAAATTCACAGATAATGATAGCACAGATAATTGTAGGTACCTAATCCTTAAATGTAAGGTTTCAAAATCTATGATTGTTTTAAATCTTTTTGAAGAAAACTATCCTGACTATCCTATCAAAATTTTTTATGAATATTTTTTAATGAGAGAAGAGAATGAATGGAAAATTTTAAAAAATGAACTCTTTGTTAGTTTTCATTTAAAAAAATCAAAAGCGAATACTCGCAGTGCCACAATCTATGGGACGTATTTTTCGACTTGAACCATCTATGTAATTGTCATGCTTAATTTCTCAACCTGTCTAAGGATCCATCGTCCATCGTTACTTAAGCAGGCAAGTAAAAAATTCTAAAACCCATGACCGCATTCAATTTCCTTCTCATTATGTCTTGAATACCAGGAACATTCTAGTTATGACATTATGAAATTACTCTGGATAAAAGTGAGTTTTCGTGTAAAATTTTGAGGAAGTGAAAAATTTCTTGTACCAAGTCTATATACCTAATTTCTAACATTTTTTAAACCAAACAATAATACAAATCAAAAGATCAGGTTGAAAAGCAACTTTAGGTGATATTTTTTGAACCAATAATTGGACGTATTTCTGCTAAACGGAAGTAAGCACCATAGGGAGAAGAAGAGGAATGCAGGTTGTATTGGCAGGTGCAGCCAAGCAACGGACTCATTACATCCGATAGAATGAGTAGTATTTCCAAAAATGTAGTGTTTAAAGAAACCTATTTTAAGTTTTAATTAGCCTTATTTGGGGTTGAAAATTGTCTGATAATATTGATAGTAAACATCCTCCATGACTATGAAAATTAACTTCATCGCTTCCAACTTATTCTTTTAAATAATGAGGCAGAGTCTTCTCTATCATAACACCGAGTAATTTTGTGCTTAAGCCAAGAGCTGCAGAAATATGTAGAATCGATATTTTCCCTCCTAGAATATTGAATACGTTTCAGATCTTTGGTGGATGTTTTGGTCGGTTGATATATATATTGCAGTGTAATTATTGAAATGAAATATCAGATTGGAAATTACTATTCATAAAAGCGTTTGTGCGAGGTATGGGAAAATGGAAATCGAACTTTGGTCAATGTGAGCTTGGATGATCCGTCAGTCATAAAGGATGAAGTAATTTGGTCTCTACCTGACCATACCTACCTACCTCATATAGTTTCTTTTTCCCATAAAATTCTTATCTCTATATCATATAGAGATAATCTGTATCAACGGGGATATTTTAAAAAATTATCAAAAATAATTGAAAGGCAATGCGACGGAAGCAATCATCAGGTTCTTTGCCGGTGAGTAAAATTAAATGTCATCTGTGCGAAGCCACGATGAAGGCAGCGATGATCCAGTTTCTTAATGGGGTCGCTTCGATAGAAGACTTTGGCAGTAGCATCCCAGAGTGGGTGACCCCTCCCTCACCTATCCCATACATTACCTATTCCTCCTCCCCCAGTTACCGGGCATTTCATTAGGAGGTGCGGGCATGGAAATTTTCGCACAGGGAGCTTTTACTGTAAGGCCAGCATTAAGCGTAACGAGATTTAGATAGTGCAGTCAAGCACGAGGGTGATCCAGAAAGTAAGGTTCCATATTCTTTTCTCTGCAACTATTAAAGCTACAAAAATTGCAATTATTCCATCAGAGAGGTATCTTTCTAACGGTATAATTGCAATTTTTGTAGCTTTAATAGTAATTGTTGAGCGAGAAAAAAAAAACAGGAAACCTTACTTTCTGAACGACCCTCGTGTATACCGATTATTTTCCAATATCTCATTGTACATTTTGTATTTTGTGTAGAGCACCAGTTGCGCTGGTCATGTGGCAATAAGTTGTTGAACTTTTTGCCATCAATCAATATGGTGCTATCCAATTGTTTAGGGAGTTGAAGATAAAAACACGAAGCTCTGCTGGTCTCCTTCAAATTAGATGAATCATGGCTCTTTTGCAAAATGTTGGACTGAATTGGGATCTCTCCAATATTTCAATCCTTTTTTTGCAAGAATTTTTCAATTGAAGTTGGAGAATATTCAAACGAACCGCCTTATGAAACGCCGCAACGAACGAGCAAGTGTGGCAACATGTTTTCAGAAGGTCCATATAAATTTTGCAATTTGTTCTCAGATTAAGTTTTGTTTATTGAGATTACCCCGCGGAACTTTTATCTTAAAATTATTTAAAATAATTAAGAAGAACTCAGGAGCTCCAGGAAGTTTTGATCGAAAAAATGGCGCCTCCTTTCACGTGCTAAAGTATGTATAGAATTTACAGATTCCGGCAGTGATATAATAGAGCCGTTGGTACTATGCACAACAAAAGAGGGAAAACCTGAAAAAAGTGAGGTTAGTTTGTTTTGACCGCTCTTCCTTCAAATTCGTCGCAATTTGACATTTTGTTTACCCATGAATATTTTGTGATCTTTCCGTTATGAAGGGTTCAGAGGAAACGAAACTTTCAACATCTCCAACTTCGTAAGTTCAATATCTTGTTGAGCTTTTTAAAAGCTTTTCTATATCTCACGAAGAAAGTAAAACAAATTCTTCTCTGCACTCCTTTCAAGTGTTTGCCTGTGTGATTACCTTCAGCAAAACACCTCTCCCGCCTGAAGTAATAATTTCCGGAGTAGTGTTCAGCTTTTGAACCCAATCGTTTATGTATTCTTGCTTACACTCCTCGAAAAATTAGACGATATTTTGTCACTTTTACACTAAGACTATTAGACTTTAACTTTGCCCAGTGTGATACACAGAAATGGACAACCCAAGCTTGGTTGCTGCTTGTATTCCTTGGCTACATCTTGGGGCAGGTTTCAGGTACATTCAAATAAATTGCGGTTGGATGGGCATTGCAATGTTTATATTTCACTAAATTTAAATTATTAATATTCTAGTCTAGGAAAGAAAGCTGCAATTTTCCTGCCCATCTCATTGCACATGGTGCCATGTCATCGGTCAAATTTTTTTCAACAATCATCCGCCTGGTTTTGTATGCTTTCTGAAAGGATTCTGTATCCTATTTTTTAGGTAGTCCTAGTATTATTTAGAACATATCAAATTCAATTATATCCACAAGCTTTAACTGGAATTGTTCAGAACTACCTTGGTGGCAGCTTTGTAGTCACCCAAGACGTAAGCGCTTCTACAAGCATCTGAACATCTCTCGCTTCAAACTTGTCACATGTAGGCCCCATAGGAGGATGTTTTATCCGTAGTGGGTTCAAATTTTGTCTTAGTAATCATGTCAACTTAATAGTAATTTGTTTCAACCTGTTGAAGATTGAAGCATCATTTTCTATTGTTTCAATTTGAGCGGGAAAAACCCGTAAACTTTGTTTTTGAGACCGTTAAATAGAACTTCAAAGTTTCTGTATTATTCTCATATCATGTGAATAGCAAGTATCAGTATTATATCTCTCTTTTGCTGCTTTTGTACTTAAAGCAATCTCATTTGATGTTTAGGAAACGAATCAAGCTTAATATGAAATCTAACGACCGCAAATCCGCACTGTTGGAAGAGGACTTGAGTGATATGGGAGTAGATTTATTGTACTCAAAAGATGATGATCCAGATGCGCCATTTTCTGCTGATGATTCCGAGAATGAATGCCCACCCACTCCTGAATTGAGTCAGGTAAAATTAGCTTTAAGTATGACTTAAAGAAACTTAGAACTCCCACCAGATAACGTCGACAGTTGTTAACGAACCCTGTCTCGTGCTATCAATTGATTTACATATCCGTACACAGCGACATATCGCTCTCTGTTGATCCTATTTGGTAAAGTATTTGGTTGGTCAAGGGGAAATTAATAACCACCAGCTAAGAGCTCGTCTATTGTATGTTGAGACAGAAGTCTAGTATTGTAGGCATAAGTCACCATTCATTAATGGTGCCATCTGATTCCATTATTAAGTAACCTGTTGAGTGGTGCCGATTTAGAACTGATCAGCGATTGAATTTTGTCTCAACATATGAGCAAGCTCTATACGATGGGGTCTGCACTCAGTAACTTATATATTCATTTTACTCTACTAATAATATCAGACTCAAAAGTCAGTTTTTTGTATGTGGTGGCTGAATATACGAATGAGTTGAAACTAATCTGATCTTAAGTGGGAAATCAAAATGTTGGAAAGAACAAGCATCCAGAAGTAGAGAGAAGATTCAGCGTAGATGAGCTCTCACCACAGCTGTTCTTAATGCTTCCTCACCTGGGCTGCAGTGGTATTTTTCACATGCTAATTCATTAATTTTTCACCAAGTCATTCGCAAAAGGATTTCCTGTGGGGGCTGTTTCCTCAGTCTAGACAAGATTTTTATGATCTCTCTGCGTAAAAGCAAAAGATCAAGAAAATTTGTTGCGCTGATAATGAGGCCAGCTTCTCCAGAAACGTTGCCTCAGTTGCCCTCCCGATCAGTTGTAAGTAACTGACATTGCTCCAGGGCGCACGTTTTCTAGGCACAACATCAACTTTAAGTGACTTTGTATCTTGGTCTCAAAAAAGTTCAGTTTTATTTTTTTAAAATTTATTTATTTGATAGTTTATATTGTGAAATTTTTTACACTCTTATTTATAATTGCTGAGTTCCATGCATGAGAACGGTACACCTAATTTGTCAGCTCTGAGGAGCATGATTATTTCCAAAGGAAGAGGACTCATTGGAAAAATTAACTTTTCCTTTTTATTTCTACCATCATCGTTTTTTTGGGGTTTTTTTGTAATACAAGTTTTTTTCTTGTGTCCTGTATGCAGGGAGCTGTGCTTAAATCTTCAGATTCCTCCTCTAGAGTCTTGAAGTGTCTTAAACCAAGTAATGTCGAAGTAACGCCGGATGATTTTCTTCGCTTTCGTAAAAGAACCTCAGTGTCAAAATTTACTGGCAAAGGTGAGTTTTTTTCCCTCTTTCATCAATTCGTCTGTATGCCGGTAGGCTTTCCCGTAGTTCAGAAAATCTGGAAAGTCAGGGAATCTCACAAGCAGCATTTATCAAAAGTCAGCATAACTAAATGGGAAAAAAATCCAAGTGAAAGTTTTGTTAGCAGGTTAGCTTCTATCTTTCAAATTTAAGGGTCACTATCGATAAGTCATTACTTTCGTTGATTTGTCAAGCCAAATTCACACTATCAAACTTTCAATTCAACTCTTGGATGCAACTTGTCCCATGAAAAGTTGGATAGTGTGATACTGACAAGAGAAAACGATAGTGTAATGAAAAATTGAAAGGAAACTTGAAAGTGGCATCACAGTTGGAGCAAAATCTTCCGACTGACATGAGCTGAAGCTGTATCTTCGCAAACCTCAGGCTGATGACGATATCACACTGCAGTAGTAATGGAATCAAATTTTTTTGTGTCTAACTTTCCATCCACCTTTTCGTTCAATTATGTCGAAAGAAATGTTTGATGGTGTGAATTGGGCTTTACAGTGATAGCTGTAATAAAGTGATTGTTGTGTGCATGTGTTTGGCCTGCAGGCGTAAAAAGCTTCACACAATAAAACAGTTCAATGTAAGTTAATTTTAAATCCAAGATACCATGGCTACCCATTTTATTCTTTTGATTATTCAATGGTCCAAGTTCTATGTTTCAGACTTATTTGCAACGCTGTCAGATGAAATACTTCTCATGATTTTCAAGTGGCTTCCAAAAGAAACACTGTACCATTGCATCTTTGTTTGTAAACGTTGGCAACGGATTGTCTATGATGAGAAACTTTGGTATAAAATTGAACTTAGCAGTAAAGTGTTAAAGCCGGACAATGTAGCTTATGCTTTGATGCGCAACCCAAGGCTGTTACGTATGTCCCAAACATTGGTGAGTTATTTTAGTTGGTTCCATTTGTGATCTTCGGTAGCATAAGGGTACAGGAAGTTCTCAGCTTCCCCCAAAATTTATATGTTGGTAGTCTTTTGCCATTTTTGAACAAAATTCATGATCAATTCCCTCCGAAGAAAAAAGATGAAAAGGAAGCACCTTCCTCAAAAAACTTGACTTTTACACAGCTAAAACTCCATAAACTTGAAACTTTTTGATGAAACCATCGGAGTTCTTCCATTTTCTCTGGATAATTAGGGGATTCCCTTCATTTTATGCAAAGTTTTTTGCATTCTTGTTGTGACAGACCTAAATACGTCAGAACCTTACAAAGTACTTAAGTATCTCATTCTCGCTCCCCTCAGGAGTATTTTCTCTTCCAGGAAGATTAGTCAATTCGAATTTTAATGTTTTATTTTTTCTATGATGATTTTCCTCGCTCTTTTTTTGTGAGAAAAGTTCCATGGTGCAAAATTTTAAAAACTTGAAACAGCATCTGAGGTGCCAATACTTAGAAGTCTGTTGAATTTTTCATTAAAGGCATTTCCTCTTTTTTCTCTATAAGATTCTATTCTGGTCGTCAGCTGCTTCTCTAAAATCATACACTTGTGGTCCAAAATGAACTTCTTAATCAAGAAAATCTTAGTTATTCTTCGAAAGGCTGCAAGTCAATTTTTGAAAATAAAACAATAAATGGCTGCATTCATGATTGAACTTACACAAAGTAAGTTTTCTGTCCTGAATCTTCAATGTGATGCTTAATTGTCTCGATGTTTTTTTTTCTCTTCTGCAGATTCAAAATCCGATGTTTGATCAAACAGAGTCCTATATGTCAAAATTTGTAAGCAAATTAGAGTATCTAGATTTATCAATGGCTGTCATTTCAAAAGAAGGTAATTTTTAATGATACTTTTAAAATGAGATGAGCCTCTCTCGTCTTATTGCCTTTTTGTTATCTCTTGAGGAAAATTCTTCAATGGACCACTAGACAAGGTACGAATTTAAGTATTCTGATACATGATTCCTAACCAAAATTTCACGTAAAACACGATTCGCGCAACGAAAATTACTGAAACCAACTTCTAGCAAAGATATTAACGTTTTTATTTCACAACGGTTGCGAGGAATTTGAGCTGCCCGCTCACAAGAAACTCAAAGCTCTACGTGAGTCAAATCGCGCGTTACAGCGGTTTCAGCAAGCTTCTCAATCGAGCAATATTCATTTCCCACCACGTTTTGTTCAAACTACAAGCAATTTGCCATAGCTGAGCCAGAGCGTCAAGATTGAGGTTGCCAGATTTTTATATCGCAGGGACTGTCATGATAGCGTTTAGCGCGCGATGTGAATCGCGTAGAGAATTGAGTTTTAATGAGCGGGTGGTTCGAATTCACGCATCAAGAACCGTGAAATATCTTCGTAAGGAATTGATTTCGGTAATTTTCGTTGTGCGCATCGTGTTTCACGTGAAATTTTCATTTAGAAACATGTATCAGGATGCTGAAATTCGTACCTTGTCTAGTGGTCCATTATTGCAGGTCTGTTTCCTCCTAGGAAGAACGCAATCCAGGACCTTTTCCAGTAACCTTCCATCTGCCATTCTCTGTATGTGATCATACATTATGAGTTGTATTGATTCAGTGGCATGAATAATGCTTTTTTTTACATCCATGATCTCACTTATCCCTTCATTTCAAACCCAATCCTGGATAATTAAAACATCAGATGAAAGTTTGAATTTTTGAAGTCCTCAAAAAGCTTCAATTGAATTTCTGTGTGACTAATTTTTCTGGAATCCATGATCTCACACCCTTTCATTCCGAAAATTATTAAAAAAATTGAAACATCAGACAAAAAACTGGAATATTTTTAGCCTCTTGAGAGCTTATTAATCCATGTTTTGTGCAATCAATTTTCTTGACAGCAAAATTTAAGAAAAAGGCTGTTGTAAATTTTATTTTGAAAAAAAAAAAAAAAAAAAATCAGTAAATGTATGTTGATCTCATGGGAATTAGCGGAAATCGGCCGAATTTCTTTCGGTAAAAGTAACGTTCAAACTGAAAGTTACGTAAATATGCCTAGGCACCAAGAATGAATTTTTTAGTGATACTTTGATTCATAAGGTTTTCTGAGAATAATATAAAGTCCTCAAATCATTCGTTCGTATCAAAACCAAGAAACATAACCAGTCATGCAATTTTAAATGCATCAGAAATAAAAATCTGCATCAAAAAATTCTCATAGCTGCGGATGTCTTCATTTCTCATAATTAGTCACTTGTCTCTTCAGTCCCCAGTGTATTTTGGAATTTTTCAGCAACCTGCAGTAGTTTTCTAAAATGTTTGTTTTTTGTTTTCCCAGATTTAGCAATTTTAATGAGCAGATGTAAAAACTTAAAGAAATTAAGTTTGGAAGCTTGTCCAACCGATACAAAGGTTTGCGAAGGAATTGGACAGAATACCAAGTTGGAAGTCCTTAATATGGCATTGTGCACTGAAGTAGATGCAGATGGTGTTAAATTTATCACATCTAATTGTCCAAAGTAAGTAGGATCCAAAATTTAAACATACTTGAGCTGTGGTCTTCTATATGTATATCATGGCACTGTACCATGTCATGACTTTCATAGCTCATGAATTTTGACGTTCTAGTTCTTTTCAAAGTGAACTATTCAGTTGTTTTCAAGTGGCTAACTAAGGCATTGGAATCAATCTATGCATCAGGCAAGTAATTAATTAGAGCTAGGTTTCACACATTCCCATCCTCTTTGGTCTGATACGAGGTACCTTTGATCTTGTCAAAAAAAAGTTAATACTCAGGATCATTCTTCCATTGTCAAATATACTGAAAATACCCAGCTTAAGTCAGTTTGAATCAAGTACTAAGATTCTGTTTTTCAGGTGTGAGAAGTGAGAATCAGAGGCAGAGAATTAGAGGTAGGGACTAATATTTTCTCAATTATTCCATCAACTTGTTACAGTTTGGGCCACATTTTTAGCGTTTTTTCTCGCTTATGAGTTAAATTTGGAAAGTTATATGCATTCATTACATTCTGCAAAAAATTCTGATGAAGAAACATTTTAATTCTGATAAATATTTTTTTCAAATAAAATAAACATAAGAAAATAATACGTTTGAATACATTTTTTCGCTTAATTTTACCTCCTGACTTCTGGCTTACTAATTGAATTTACAATCAACCACTGAGACAACCTCACATAGCGCTGGTCTTCTGGATTTAGAAATAAAATCTTGAAATAATGCTCTTTTGGTCTGTTCTCGGATATTTCAGTGAGACTCAAAAGATTTTTCCGCTGCGGTGCTGTGCTGCTTCCTCTTCCCCCTCCAGTGCAAATTTTGCTTTACATCAAATAATTGTGTTGTAGTTAAAATCATGTATTTTCTTTCACTCTTGGACTCAGTGGTTCTTAATGAATTTTTCAGATTGCTGGAATGGAATTTAGGATGGACCAACCTTTCTCCAGAGGCTGTAGAAATTGTATGTAGCTTTGTGTCTGAAAAAATCGAAGCCTTAAATCTAAGCGGAGCTAAATCAGTTTCCAATGAAGGTAAGTTCTGGCTTTTGTTTTTTCCGCAGAAGTGATCGCTCTTTTATATAAGTTTGTTCATTTTTTATTCTTATTTTAACTAAAAAAACATGCACCTGTGCAGTCATCTCACACCAACTAATTGTCAGGTATCTCCAGGTATAAAAAAAAAAAAAAAAGAACCCATCATGGGTCAGTTAACTTGAGAGGGTTCGCCCTGCAAATATTTGTAATTTGTTCCCTCAGTTTTCAGTTTGAGAAACATGATCCATACAGTAAAATCTCACCCAAAAATGTCTGTAATGAAAGATCATCTATTCTGTTAGAGTCCTGTTACACTTTCTACTAAAATTGTTTTTCTATTATTGTTCGCAATAACTGTGATTTCAGCCTTAGGCTGTAACGTTTATTTTCTCTCAAGTCCTCACTCCTCATAGTAATAAACCACAATAACTGCTCTGTTTTTTACTGTAACTTGTCTTCCTGACAAATGTGCTTTTCTCTTCATGAGAGTGACGGTGCCAGCAATGATTATTTTCCTATTGGTGCAAGCATTGTAAAATTATGAAAAGAGGGAAACCAGACTAAAAGGAGCTGGCTTCGAAGCAAATCTGGGTTATTACTAATGATAACAACGTTAATTGCAATTTCATAGAAACCAGGCCATGTAGAGGCTGCTGTAGATTGACTCTGGTAGAACGTCCTTTATTTTTTAATTTTGCGAATTTCATGTAAGTCAATCTTATACGAGTTCCTATGCATTGTAGGGAAACACATTTTTTTGGGGGGAATGAAATTACCTCTCACTCAAAGACACAAAAGAGCAGAAGCTTGAAACACGTTTTTATGGTTGTTCTAAGAGTCTATCCCTTCAGGAAATGCCAAGTTACCTCCAATACTCTTGAAGATGCTGGTTTGCCAGCCAGGGGCTAATGAAATTAGTTCTGCAGCTCTTTCGCTACAGGAGCTATTCCTGCTGGGGTGGGTAGCTGATTCGCAGCACAGCACTCAGTCTGGGTGTTGTACAGTGTGCATGTCAACATTAGTGATCATGATGTAAAAAAATTTCAAGAGCCTCATATCAAAGGTACTGAACAAAGGAAATGGATTCCATAATTTTCTGACATTTTGTTCGGCCTTTCCTCCAAACTCCTTTCTTCTAATCTTTACAGAACAACGTTTCAGTTTTGTCTTGAGTCAAATGTTCTCTTTTTTTCCAGATGTTGAGGAATTAGTTTATCGTTGCAAGCAGCTCAAAGAACTTGATCTCAGTGACTGCACAGAACTTACTGTTGATTGTGTTAGTCAAATCTGTGGGCATTTGTCAAATTTACAGACGCTATCGCTGAGCCGCTGCTATAATATCCAGCCTTCGTGTTACTGGTAAGGCATAACTTTTTTTTGCAAATTTCTAACAAAATGTTTCGTCAGTCAGTTAGATCTTCACAATAGGTCCGTTGCATTAGTAAGAGAATCGTGTTTTGATGCTTGATTCTTGTAGATTAGCTGAAAATAATAAGATCTGTTCAAACCGCAGCTTTCTATGTTCAATATTAACCGAGATATCGCCATTTGAAAAGTCGGATTTGACGTCATCCACCCCACGGTAGTGACAAGTGACACCCTTGGTTTCTTCCACCTTGCTTTCTTTAGTCAGCGAGACGTATATTTGTACTAGTATTGTAATGTAATGTGAAACTTGGATGAAAGCAAGGTGGAAGAAACCAAGGGTGTCACTACCGCGGTGGATGACGGTAAAACTCCGATTTTCCAAAGGGCGATATCTCAGTTAATATTGATTGTAGAAAGTTGCCGTTTGGACGGATCTTATTATTTTTAGCTAATCTACAAGGATCAAGCATCAAAACACAATTCTGTGACCAGCACAACTGACCCACTATTAGATGATGAACTCTGAGAGAGGCAAGAGAGGAACAATATTTTTAAGGTGAAACCACCCTATATTCGACCATCAATCATTATACGACTGAAATAAAGATAAACTTTGCCCCTTTAACTTTAGCCCTGCACTGCCTCATCAAAAACAATTATTCAGCCATCACCAATGACCACCACTTTGTTGTTGCTAAATTGTTCCTGTCAAGCTGCAGAACACACTGAAAACCAGCAATTCAAAGCTTTCAAATAATGGTTTTCGTGTTTTGCGTTCGGTCTTGCTACAACACCAGTGCTCCTTTTTGATCTTTAGTACTTAACAATCAGCCCCTTGAAGAAACCACACCTACAGTAAGAGTCTCCATGATACAGCAACACTATGAAAATGGGTGGTTTAATTCGCCAGTCATTAAGACGGGTCCAGCCAGAAGTGACCAAAAATAAAACGGTCATCATGATCCCTTTGGCAGTGAAAGTGTTAAATGGTGAACAGGGCACCTAATAATAGCTACCAGAAAGTTAACCATTGGGTTTTCCAAGATTGCGTTCGGACACTTTTTTAAGATAAACCCAGATCAACTTCGATGGGGAAACTTGGAATTACAGGCCGAGCAGAGGCAACAAGGATTTCAAAAACTGGAGAAAAGATTGCTGACTTTGGTCCTCTATGTGGCAGTTGTTATTCTATGGGAAAACTATGCATGGGAGACGTATCACTCCCTCTCAGATGTCATCGAATATTATTCAGAATCTTCAATGGCTTGAGAAAGTATGTTCTTCCTGAATTGTAAAAGTAATGTCCCTTCTAAAAACATGGAAGCAAATTAAAGACTTCATTACCTAATTTATTCCCTCATTCATAAATGTTTTCTTGTCCATTTTCTGTATTATAATTTTTCGTCAATTTTTTACAGGAAACTTTTCATGCTTCCAAATTTAAAACATTTGAATTTGTTTGGTCTCGTGCATGATAAGCACCTGGATAAACTTGAGAAAAACGCTCATCCGGTGGAAATCAACAAGATGAAATTTTCCAGTATTGCTCGGCCCACAGTTGGAGTACGTAGAACTAGCATTTGGGGTCTTCGTGTTCGACACTAATCTCACATTTGTTCCATTGTAAATTTAGTTTTACAACTCAATTTTTATTCCCTTATCAATTTGAATAAGTTCAATCGACTGCCATGCCATTAGTGTTCTAGGCACTTGATTTTCTATTTTTAGTGTAAGTTGTGATCTTTTTTGTAAAAACGAGCCTTGTCATGTTGGAGGTGGAAGAGTTTTTTTTTCCTGTGAGGGTACACCTATGTTAATTTTAAGGTCGCTAGAGTGGATCAGGAATTCGCTAGTTACTTTTTATTGTTTTTTTTTCACTAATAAATTGATTTTATTATTTGTCTTTGCAATTACTAAAGTTTTTAATTTTTGCCTCTCAGTCCTCAAATCGGCACATATTTCGTCAAAACCTACTGAAGACTACCTACTATGTTTTTATACTTAAACGTTGCAGCATTTCTTCTGATCAAATAGACCAAGTTTAAGAGAAACGCATCAAGTTTGAAAAGAAAGAGAGACGTTATTAGTTTTATTCCTCCATAGAACTCAGCATTTAAGAGAAAACTCAACAACTCTTCACAATCAAAATATTTTCCATGACTTGGAATTTTTACCAAATGACAGTGCGCAACTAGGTGTATTCTACACTCACTCTGAACTGATTTTTTCTCCCAAAATGCGACTTGGTGCATTCCTGTCAAACTCTGCCCAAATCACGTCAGTATTATGAAAAAGCGCAATTTTTTTGATGACATCACTTACAGTTCCACATGTTTCCTCTATTTTGCAATGAATTGAATGAAAGTTCTGCAATATTTTTTATCAGAATTATTCACTTGATAACAGTGAATTTCGGAGACGGCGAGAAGTTACAAACCTTAAATTCTTAGAAATAAAAAGAAATATTTTAGAGAATCATTATTCTGCAAAATAATGGTACTTTCATATGAAAGTGTAAAGAAACTCTTACATGCCCTATAGTGAATGTTTGCAGTATGACATAGCCAGTGTTTATACTTTAAGATACATGCTGGTAAACAGGAAAGGAGTGTCATTGGCATAAACTACATCTACTTGGAAATGTATGTACAAATAAAATGAATTTATTAAACCAAAACACAGCTGTACAATTCATGGACAATTGTATAAATGCTAATACCTGATGATACGGAGACTGACAAAATGAAAAAAATATATTCTGTTAATAGAACTGTTAGGAAATACTTCCTCTTAAGATCAATCGAAATAGCAGGCTATTGGAGTCTTCGTAGATAAGATCAGACAAAGTACACAAGTTAAAAAGACAATTCTCATTCACTTCAGAAGAAGATGTAAAACAGAAGTGCTCAGTTTCTAGGTTAATTTCCTCCTTATTCTTATAATTAAAAAATAAAATAAAAATAACTTACTCAAATTAACAAGTTAGAAGCCTCCTGCACAAAAGAAAGAGGCAATAAACTTAATGTGCTGAAAAGTAACCGAGGTTTGGTAGAAAAACCGGGTGGGAAAAACCTGCTAAGTGATGTGATGAGAAATGTTTTCCAAGCTTGAAAAACCTCTAGGATGTTCACAAATGTTATCTTGATCGAGCCTTCACTTCTGTGGGGGAATAAGAAAATGATCAGGATTCAGAATTGTGGAGAAAAAATTATACCCCACTTTTATGCTATTAAGAAAAAGCCATTAGACTTAGTCGACATCAATTTTAACAGCTGGATGGGTCTTATACCCCATATGAAACCACAGAATCAGGAAGTTGTTGAGGATAAGAGCAATATTGCTCCATGGAGCCAATACAGTTTATTAGCAATATTTACATTATATTGGAAATTTCCTTTCAGGCTTCAATTTTTAAAAAGAAAACTAACAGCTACTTAAGTGCAAGCAGAAGTAATAACAGTGTGGTGATAATAAGAGTAGTGTACTGATTACAACCTACATGAAGGGAAAAGCAAGATTTAAGACGGTCAAGCCAAAATTGATGTGAGACTGGAAACAACTGAAGTTCGGGAAATTGCCAAAAAAAAAAAAAAAAAAACCCTGGAGC